TCTATTAGAGGGAGCGAGACTGGAGAAGAGCGGTTACACTGCCCATAAATCCTCAGAGAAGGGCTCTAAAAACTTGGGTTTGCACATGCCAACCATAAAGAGAGACTTGGCACATCGCAGGCCTCCAAGATGCTGCTGGGTGTCCCCTTCCTGCCCTTCCCAGCCCAGAGGGTGCCCAGCCCCTATAACCTTGGCTGCTGGTGTCTCTGCCCCAGCCTCCTTCCGTCCTGCCTGGGGAAGCAAGGGCTGAGGCTGTGGCAGAGGGAGGGCAAGCAGCCTGCAGCCCCAACAGAGCCATGCCTTGTGACCCAGCAGGCTGCCCCTCAAGTCTCCCTTCTCCTCTCCATCCAGTCTACTGGGGTTTCTGATCCTTCTGTCCTCTCCACCAGCTACAGGTACCTGCTCAGGACACCGTCCTGACTGCACCTGTAGCCTCTTTGCTCGACAGCTGGCCATGGCAATGCAAAAGCTGGCTACAGAGAACTTACAGAGCCTCATCTTACAGCCATAACTTTAAACTTAACAATTTTAGAAATGCAGAAGGGTCAGGCTGTGCAAGACTGGTAGGGATGTGACAAATGAAAGGATCAACCTTTCATGGGAGAAAGGGATAGGGTGTCACCATGACTGGCTGCGTGATCGTCAGTTCATGAGAGCAGGGCTTGTGCCTTCATCTCCTGTAACAACAACCACAAGAAGACCCTTTTCCCTAATGTAGGCCCCTGAGCATGGCTGCAATGTAAATATTAATACTAACAAGGTAATTCTTCTCAGTTTGTGCTCGTGCTGTTTTCCAGGTCTGGCAGTGTGGGAAATGGCCCGTCCCACTTGCTGGGGCCCTAGGAAGATACTTTTTATGTAGTGTAATGGAAGCTGGTGTCAGCTGGAGTCAGAGGTTTGATTTTGCATCTCGGCAAGTATAAATGTTTGATGATCCCCCTTGGGAGGTGAGCACTGGGACTAGTGCATTAGGGAGCCCATAGCTTCTAAGTGAGACTCAGAAAAAATAGACTTGGTT